CCCCAAAACCCCAAAACCCCAAAACCCCATTAAGCCTTTCATCATATATCTAAGAAAATTCATTAAATTAAAGATTCAATCATAATTATCAGCTATGCCAAACTCATTTACCTCTACATAATCTTCGTAGTCTTCATTGTATTATTAATCAGGATTTTGACTTTATCTATTCGATTTTTTCATTGTGTCTTGATTGCTTTTATTTGAAATAACTTGAGATTTAACCACTTAATCAGACTTTCTAGCAGGCAAATTTTAAGATTTCTCAACTGAATATCTTTAGGGGATAGAGTGTTATTTGCTAAGAGTTTCTTAGTTTATACTTGAGTACAAGTTTAGCTACTAGCTTTCTCTAAATTTTGGAATGATTTCTGTCTCTTCATTCTTTTAGGTTAAACCTAAATCTTGCTAGCTCTAATAAGTCAACATAACTTCATTTTCTTAACCCTCCGTGAGATTAATTTCTTCAAAATTATTGTTGTTTGTTAACAAGTTATCCTCTGTGTGGTATACTTACTTAATCTCTTCTTCTTCTACTTATGGTAACTCATATTTTTTATAAGATTTTTCTAAATTAGCTTCTTATTATTGCTAACTCAATAGATCCTAAATTAGATTATATTCTTGTTATAAAGTCTATTTAGTTTATGGATGACTGCTTTCAACATTCTATTAATCTACATAATCATCAGATTTTAATATTTCAATTTTTTTAGTTTATTAATTTTCCTATTTAAGTCCAGTTTTATCATTAGGAACTGGGGATTGAAGATTAAAAACTATAGAATTATGTTCTTTAAAAAGGTAAGATGGGTCTTTTGATCTATAGCTATACTCGTTTAAGTCTCTTCTTATTTTATCAATTTCATCATGAAAGACAGACTGCTCTATTAATTCATATACTATATCTTTTCCTGGTTATATTTTATATAGAGATGTCTTTAGCTCACCTTTAAGACTATTATTTGCAATAAGTAATTTTTATTCCAATTCAATTTTAGTTTTAAGTTCTGGAAACTATTGATTAAATTCTAGATCTTTCAAAAGCTTTTCAACATTTTCCCTTTTTTAAGTCATAAATTAGTAAACCATCACATCTTCCTCTGTTTATTTATTAAGCTTCTCAATCTCTTGCAAATTTTTAATAGATATATCAACCTCATGATCAAGCTTAGAGGTTTAATCCTAAGGTAATTGAATCTTTTACATTTCATAATGTTAAATTCTAGTGTTATTAACTGGGAACATTGTTGAATTAGTCACTATAGGTTTTAATGATTCAATTTTTTTCTGACTTTATTATTATCTCTCTTGCACAAATCTATCAAAATGTTCGTATTTCCCTTGACTAATGCTTTAATTCATTATCTAGGAACCAGCATTGACTAATGTATTCCTTTCAGTAAATGACTAACTAAATCTATCATCTTAGGGCATAATTTTAATACCAAATGCATCATAGTCAAATAAAGTAGCCTTCTTGTAACTGTTATAAGTCTCATAATTTGAAAACATGTTACTAGTTTCAAATCAAATTTTATTAGCTTAAATTTATAATTGATTCATGTGAATTTATGCCAATCTTTGCTGGTTTTTAGCTTGATTTCTGAGCACATTCAATTCCGAGTCAAGCACTGAGTGTGCTTTTTAGAACATCATTAAATTGGCTGGATTATGCACGAGTACCTTTTCATCATAAACTCTTGGAACAAACTTCTCGGGAGAGTAGTTTTTATATTCCATCAATAAAGATTATTTGCCGTAAGGAGATTTGTGACTCATTTGGCTTTACTACTATTAATTTTTAACGAATTCTCATTACTCAATTTGAATTCTTAGATCTTCTTAATATTTTATTTGATTTAATCTCTTAACTTCACCAATATCATACGTTTTTGGAGCACTGATTTAAGGGTCCTTATAAGGAGTTATGTAATTTTTATTTTGCATATTACTTTCATTTCTGGCTAATGCTATTTTTTTATTTGTTATTATGTTTCCATCTTGATCCCTAAATGGATCTCCACCTCCACCCTATCTTCCTCCCCAAGGAAAATAATCATCTCTAGTATCACTTAGCTTTTAGGGTTTATAAAGAGTTCTACCGATTTCATTTTTGGCATTAAAAGGAAATTCACCTTAAGTTTAGCCTAATTGTTCCATTTAATTGTTTCAATTATTAAATTAATCGATTATTAAACTAATTAAAATTCAAGTACTTGGAAAAAGTGCAAACTTTTTACTCTCTCTCATCATTCAGAAGAACTCAATTTGAATAAGCTATTTAAAGAGTATATTACAGCTGATTCGATTAAATCTTTATAATCCGTTGCAATCTGTAGTCCATTTATATCTATTTTTTCATTAGGGACTAGAATGAGTGATTAGAGCTTTCCTGAATAAGTGTCGAAAACATAAAGATTTTTGCTAGATGAGTAGGCATAAACATGAAGACCATCTCCAGAAAACTACGCATATAACATCTCTTCATCTTTAGATTAATTAGAAGAATACTCTTATATAGTGTTTCCAGTTTCATAATTAATCAGGTATGCACTCTTGAACCGATAGCAAACAAGAATTTCGGTTGAGTTTTTAAGACTAATCTAAAAGTTATTGAGAACTAAGTCTTTTTGCAATCTGACATTAGGAGTATTGATAACTTTTACTTTTTAGGCTTTTTAATCTTGCTCTGACGTATTCCATAGTATAATCTAACCATCTTCAGTGCCAGTTAAAAGAAGATTTTCTTTGCTAGGGATTAAGAAAGTAGAAAGAATAAAGGATTAAAGTCCCTTGATATCTCTCAGTAAATTTCCAGACTTTAGACCATATATTTTGATGCTTCTATCCAAGCAACCTGCTATAATTTGTGAATTATTACTTGTAAGACAAAGTGTCCCAATCCCAGCATTTTCTCCTCCTTGAGTATCTATCTCCCTTAGTTTTTTTCCATCAATGAATTTCCAAATTTTAATGATTCCCTCTTGATCACCTGAAGCAAGAATCTTGTCATCCTTTGAAAACAAAAGAGATAGCACTGCTTTTCTATGAAGCATAAAGAGATCCTAGGCCTAAAAACTCAAATCAATTTCAAGTGACATCGATTTGAAGTTCCAAACTTCTATCAAACCATCTTATCCTCCAAGTACTAAATATTTTGAATCATGGCTAATTGTGAGAGTCTAAACTTAAAAATCTCCTTGAAATACCTTGTAGCTTACAATTTTTTGAGCTATTGGCATTGACTACTCTTTAATAATTTAGCTAACTTAATTCCCATTTTTTTAATTTTGCAAGTATTACTATTGAAGATGAGGTTTTTTCTCATATTCTAGTCCTTAAGCAATCAATTAGAGAAGCCTGCTATGCTTATTATTTTCATTTTCAAGAACTTTGTCAAAGAGTGAAGTCAAATCCTCTCTACATTGCTCAAAACTCTCATATTTTTTCCCGAATAAGGACATAAATGTATGAGGAGGTTCTTTAATCTAGGTTATATCCCACAAATTCTATAATATGTCTGGATATTCTTGAAGTAGAGACGCTGTCTGTTCTTGTATTAAATACTGAGCCATTTCATATTCCTTTTAAATAAGAAGTTCTTTGATTATATGCTCATAAAGCCTAACTAGCACAATTTTATCGATACTTATGTATTAAATCTGCTTAAGAACTTAATGCCAGAATCCTTTTTTAATATTTTAAAGGAAATCTTCTTTATTTGCTATCTGATTAAAATTTACATTAGTCTCATCTGATAATGTTTGAAAGCTTTTCTATAAATTGTTCTCCTTTAGGAATTAAAGCACAAGTTCAACTGTGAAATTCAAATCTAGTTTGTGTTATTAGTTTGCTTCCATTGTCTAATCAAAAATATTAAAATTTAATTTAATTAATGGAAAGCTCGGAACAAATAAACACTCTAAATACAGCTGATTTAGACTAGATTAAGTTAAAATGCCCCAATTTGTCTGAGTAACTAATTTAGGAGACTATAGAAGCATTTAGTACATTCGATTTTGACTAGGAAGGTATAGTTTATGAGATTGAGGTAATTGCAACAATGCTAATGTCAATGGGATGTGATGTGACTAAGTAATAAATTTTGGATTTGTATGAATAGCTATTTAATGAAAAAATGTTGGATGGTGAAGATGCACAAGTAACACTTATTTAATTTGCTTAAATGGTTGACAACTTTGTGAAGGAAACTGATCCTATAGATGGGGTAATAAGCAGTATATAAGATTAGTATGATGAAAGTGAAACAGGAAAATGCAAATATGAAGACATTTTAAAGTTCATGGAAGAGTATAATTATCTAGAAGCAGACAAAGAATCATGCTTGAAAATACTGCAAGAATTTAAAGAAGCTGATGATAGTATAGACTATGGAAAAGCAATGAGAAAGTTAATTTAATGAGAGCAGATAAAATTTGAATATTTTAATGTAATATATGTTAGTCTAATGATTTTAAACTTGAGTATACTTAATATTTACTTGCTTGCTCACATCTGCATCATTTTAGTGATGGCAACAGTTCTTCCATCAAATAGTTAATAAGTCTTTCTAAGAACCTTTTGTTTCTTTCCATTCATCTCAATCTCTTCGATTATAATGTTAGAGCCAACAGCACCTTCTGGCTTATCAGGGTCATTTTCAATATCAAACTCCTTTTAGTTCTTTTCCTCTTCAGTCATTTCTAGTTAAATCAAAGTCGTTTTCTTAGTGCCTATTTACGAAGGTAAGGACTTTTGAGTTGCAATTTTTGGTTAAGCACCTTAAGAGAGTTGAGAAGTCTTTTTATCTCCAGCCATCATAGTCACTGTTTTCTTCAGTTTGTCTAGACCAGTCTTAGCGTTTGATATAGGTGCACTTTACTTCTATGGACTCATTGATGATTTATTGAAAGCTGAAGACTTGTCAGTTGTGGGAGTAACTTTCTCTTCTTCATTTACAGTCTTAAAAGGGGAAGATGTATCTTTTAAAGTTGTTGAAGTGTAGTTATGAGTGGATGCTTTGCCAAGAGCAGAATTAGTAGTTCTTTATTATTAAGCGGCAGTTGATGTTCTTTATTATATTCCACCACTCTTTTAATCATTACTTACAGGGATTGATTTGGCTTTATTGAATGCTGTTGTAGGCCGATTTGTTGGGGCAGTTGTTGTAGTATTAGATGCTATTTTAGTAGATCCAATTGAAGACTTTGGTGAAGTCATTCCTTTTGTTGCTGGCATATTTTAAGTAGGAGTCTCTTTAATTGTTGCAGTAGCTGGTTTCATTCTATTTGTCATTGTTATTGCACTAGTAGCTTTCTTGAAAAGTTATTATGCCTTTAAAGTGGCATCTTTGGTATCTTTCTTAACTTTAATTTTTGAAACATCTATTCCTAATTCTACAATCTTGTCAATAAGTTCACTTGGAATCTCTTCTGATACAGTTACATTGATAGATGGCATTTCACCATCCTTGAGGATTGCTGAGGAATATTCAAGTAATATGACATTGTCCATTGTGGCATGAATTCCAGTAGCGATACCGCAGTGAAGCAATTCTGGATTGAAAAAACTCTTTCTGTATCCTCTTGCTGGCTATCCATCATCAACAATCAATCTTTCTATGACTTCTTTAGCAGATACTGATTAGAAAGCTAAACTCTCTCCCCAAGCATCATCTATATTGCAATATCTTGCCAATCTATCAGTTGGAAGAGATCCATCACTTCCTAGACTACTAACTATACCTTTTGGGCCAATATCATTAATATGATCTTAGGCTGCTCTGGCCAATTAATTTGACCATTAAAGAGGAGCCACAGGTCTCATAATCTATAAGAACTCAATAGCCTCAACATAAGCAATATTTCCTTCTTGAGTTTCAACCCCTGATTTTCCATCCTCTGACATTAGCACCTTTCCATTGAATCTAAATAAAGCCTTATCAAGTATTGGTATGAAGGATTTTGGGTTTTGTCTGACTTTGTTCTGTAGATCAAAAACTTCTTTTGCAAATTTAACCCAGTCCTTTTTTTGCATTGAATCTTTTCTCCTGTAAAATTTAAACATATGCTTATATACTTACTATTAATCAACAAGTGCAGTCTAGTCAGTGTAATTCTTGTTGTATTCATCTAAGGATATGGCTTAGCATGCAAAAACAGCAACATTACAGTTTTCGGCCTGTTTATGATCTCCGCTTGCAATACCAACTTCATGCAAATCTGCACTTGTAATGTTTATTCTGTGAGATCTTTTTGGCACTCCATCATCAACAAGCCAAGCAATAACTACATCCTAGGCTTTATCTCTGGGACCGAAGTTCATTGCTTCGAAGATACTACCACCCCATTTGCAGTATTTCTCAATTCTGTCCTTATAGGAGCTTTTATTAGAGCCTACATGACTAAGGATGCCTTTTGAACCTATATCGTTTACGTGATCTTGTGCTGCCTTATATAAATTTTCATTCCAATTTAAAGGCTTAAGTTGCTCCTTTATATTTTTGAGATATGATATAGCTTCTAGGTACTAAAGTAAGTTATGATTATATAGATTTTCTTACAGCCTTAGGACCCTCATCAAGCATTACCCCTCCCATTTTTGAATCTGGCACGTAAAGAGCATTACCATCAAAGTAATTAAGATGCTCCTAAAGAATCTTGATATAAATTTTAGGGTCTTTTCTGAGTTTGTTAATCTCTTCTAAAATCTATTTTGCAAAATCTAAGTCTTCTTGGGACATATATCCTATTGAAATAACTTTAAAACTTAAATTATTTTATTTCAAGAAGAGGCTATTTTATTCGATTTAAATTTAGAAAATTTTTATCACAAATCGGCTTTAAGGGGTTTTGGGGTTTTGGGGTTTTGGGGAGATCGGAAGAGCACACGTCT